CCTTGTCCCTTCCCTTTCCCCTACTCTTGTAACTCATTTAATTTTTAGACTCAACAATTACTTAATTGATTTATGTTTGAGACCCTATAGCTACCATAACTGCCTTAACCTTAAACCCTTTAGACTTTACAGATTCTTAGAGTAATTAACTAAGCTTATATTAACCTTTAAAATTTGATTCCTTTCAAAAATCATTTGTTTTGGCCTCGTTAACTCAAAATCTTCCCCTAATACCTGGACTTGGTTCATGTTTGAGGGGAGATAGAAAGAGAGAGCAGTGAAGATAGCAATTATTTCTATGCTTTGACATTTCATTTCAGCCCCGAAGTATCTTCCTTTCATTGGCGACTTTCACTTTCTGTAGTGCTTTGATCGTATTAGAAATTATTTGATTGGTTGTATATTTGCCATATTTTTTTGGGAAGTAAGTAACAATGAATCATATTCAAATATTCTTGTGAGGCGATGGCTCAATTTCCTATCAATAAGTATGTGGGTTCATCAGGCTCATTGAAGCTAAAAAGGCAGGTGTCGTTTGCTTGGGCACAAATATAGATGATTAATTGGGTAACAAATGGAGCAACTAAGAGTTTGTTACAAGTGCATGACCGATTTCTTCTTCAGAATTTTTATCCATTCAAGTGTTATTTTCTTGTTTGTGAAGAATCAATTTGATTGGCGGAAATGAGTTTTCTACTTGGGCAACAAACTCATAGCAAATAACCTTGAAACTTGGTGAAATTTTGAGGTGAAGGAAGTCCCTTGATTAGACCAAATTTTTCATATGCCTTTTATTTCCGATGTGCAAAATTTCTTCATGTTCAACTTCAAGGAAAAAATTTGCCGCCTCAATTTGCTACTTATAATCGAAGCAAAATGCCTATAAATAGGCATGGATCCCTCAGCTTTAAAGTACATCCCAAAAATTGTATTAGTTCAATTTTTATTCTTTTGTTGTGAGAAAGACAAGCTTATTTATTGGGGGTTTGAGAGGGTAAGTTGGAGTAGATTGTACGAAATGTTAAAGGCTCAGGTTTAGGATTTAAACATGAATGGTGAGACTTGTACTATTGTACCCATTTTCTTTCAACAATAAAGAAAGAAGACCGGATCACATCTTGTGGATGTAGGCAAATAAATTTTCTCAAACCACGTAAATTTTGGTGTTGTGAGTTGTATTTTACTTTTCTTTATTCTGTTAATTTATTTTCTTGATTTTCTTGTCGTTGTATTGACAACATTGCTGCAAGGTTTATTCCCAACAATTTCTACAGAAGGTTTTGTATAAATTAGGATGAACAAATGTCCTAAGTCACTGATAAAAGCATCACGAATCATAATCTTATTCAAAAATTAGATCTTGACCTGAAAATTGGTAACCTGATTCTTCTTTTCATTCAACTTATAATGAGTATTTAAATTCAATATATCTGACTATTAGAAAGTATAATTTTTTTATTTTCTTATACCTGTAACACATGCTTACATTTTGTTCTTAGAATTAAGATTTGCATATTACTGTAGTGTTATCAATATGAGGTATATCTAGGATTTGTGAAGTGATTTTATTTTATTTTTCCTCCCTCATCGATAACTTTTGTTGCATATGGTATAACCCCTTATTTACTTATCTTAATTCCATCTTCAATATACATCTGTTGAGGGTCATGTAAACGTCCAATGGAATGGAGACCTTTGAAAAATCTCTTCAATACTGTCGCTCTGACTCCCACCTCTTCGTATCCTCTCTCGTTCTATACATATCTCATGATTTTAATATTATGTATAAATTGCAGTTAAACTTTTAGTTTATCATGTCATACTTTTGACACATCTTCCAAAAATATAGCATATCCATTTTTAAGCAAATCTTAGCCCATAGTGAGGTATAATTGCATTCGCACAGTGCACACATTATTGTAGTGTTTTCTTCTCATTTTCCTTGATCAACATAATAGATCACTATGGAGGTTTCAAATATTCAATTTAAATTATCACAAAGGAGGTTTTAAATATTCAATCTATATGCACTTGTAACTCAAAATTCTTAAATTTCATGATTTTTTCAGGTCATATGGAGTGTACAAGTTGTTGCAGATCTAGAGATGTGACTATTTTTGTGACCACAATACTAAAATTCAAAAATCTATTTAGAAAAATCATAAAATAATGTTTGATAGATGATTCGAAAAAAATATTTTGATTGTACTGTTACTGGTAGTGTATTTGCTGGTCTCAACTATGCTCTTGAAGTTATGACACAAGGCATTGTTGTATTGATTACCAAGCTTGAGCCTCATGAGAGTAACATTGACCATGCTTAGGCTTAGGTGGGTGTTCGGTTGTGCCCTTCTGAATCGTTGTTGTCTTACCTGCAACATATAGTTATAGCAGGGTCTTCTCATGCAACAATTGATAATATTATGTATGGTCTTCATTGTGCTATTTCATTATATGATTGTTGTGTCTTCAGTATTGAGCTTTTGGATGGAATAATGGTGTAGCTTATAAGATAATTTGTTGTCTTAAATATAATATTTTATGGAGCTAAAAGGGCATGAAAAATGACTTGATTGTAGCATTTCCTGCTTTATGTTCTGTATTGGTTTAGAAAGCGCACCATGCTCTAATTTAGTTTGTTGTTGCAATTAGTTCTACGTGCATTGGTGCCAAAAGGATATGCTAGTGTGGCTACACGTTTCTTTAGGTTTTACCATATTGGTGGGAAGCAAGATAGAATAGTTATAGCCATTCTAATTATTGTTGAACTTAGAATTTTAGATGTATACCTTGTGATTGTGTTTCTTCAATAATTGAGTGCACTTATTTTACTGACAATTGCATATTACAGACTTAATCATAAATCTCGAATTCATGTAAAGTCAAAAATGTAATTTTTTTATGATGTATGGTTCTTACATTCTACGCGTAATGTCAAATCTATTAGTGGAAAGTGAATATGTGTACATGTTCTCTTTCTTGACAAGTTGAGTGTTATCTCTAGCTAAACTGGTATGTGCAGAAGGACCGGATAAAATTAGAGAATTGGTTGGTCTGGGTGCTTCATTTGATCATGGGGAGAACAAAAACTTGCATTTAGCAAGGGTAAGGGGCCATTCTCACAGGGAAATTGTGAGGGCACTGTTGGAGGCAGTAATAAAAGATCCCAATATTTTCAAGTTTGAATGTCATTTTGCAATAGACTTAATTGACAACAATGGTTCTTGTTCATATAGACTTTTGTGATTTCTTTGAGGAATATATTTTTTGACCTTTACCAAATAAATTTTGTATCTATAATTGTGCCTTTTTCTCCCCCTTTGAACTTGTCAATATTGCAAATCATTTCTAAGGTCGTTGTGCTTGCATCAAGTGGGATTGGACCTATCTATACAACAATTACAAACCCTTTGCTATGGTTTCAATTTTGTTTCCCAATGAACTATAACTTTATTTGATTGTTGGTGTCGTTTTTTTCTTTTTTCTTGCTTCAAAAGATGAAGGCCCCTTATGATATTGATTAACTTAGCATGTCTTATCTTGTGACATACAAAGCCAACCATCTCATAAACTACAAGTATTAAGCTTGTAACTATTGGAGACAATCACTTGCTCTGTTTGTTTTTTGTGCACTTCGAGACATCTTCAATTTTCTAGCTAAAGTTAATACAAATCAAAAACTGATATAATGTTACTTCTCAAAGTCACTACAAAAAAGCATATCAAGACTTTGACGAGTTCATAAGTAATTCAAACAATGATCATGGTATAAGTTAAGACAACATATTCATTTTTTTTTTTTTTTTGGGGGGGGGGGGGGAACAAACATGACATTCACAATAAAAGTAAAATACAATCTATTGATTTCATATTCTTTGGCTGCTCAAGACAACCATTAAGATGAGAATTTTCATGACCCCACAACCAAACTACACTCCATAATGGAAACTAATTATTCAAGTTTTTGATACCTTGTAAATATTGCCAACCATAGTCTGATATTGAATTGTTTTCAAAATCGCTTAGTCAAGTCAAAATTATACAAGCTTTGTAATAAAGATGGTATAGCTTCCTTTTGAGCTTTGAAAGGGTTAAATTTATGATTAGCTTCTTTTTCTATACCTTCATATGATTCCTTTTTTGTGCAAGCATTGCTTCGATGTTTCAATGTTTATTTTAAAATCCAATGCACCTAAAAGTTTTGATTGCAAACAACTAAGAAAAGTGTCCAACAATAGATACATTATGATCTGAACCACAATATGATTGTCTTTCATTTAGTGTACAAAATGATTCATGTGCAACACACGTGTGTATCAACTAGTATATCAAAAACACACACTAGTACCAAAAAATTATACACACACTAATACACAAAACATACATACATATACTAACACACCAAAGCACACACATACTAATATACCAAAATACACACACATATACTAACACATCAAAAAAAAAAACATAAACACATTTAATAGCACACTAAAATACACACACACATACTCTAGACCTAGACCCCGAACCCTAGACCTAACCTCAGACTCAACCCGAACCCTAGACCTCAGCCCCGAACCCAAATAAACACACATATACTGCTACACCAAAATATACACACAAATTATTACACCAAAATACACACGTATATTACTACACAAAAATACACACACATACACAAATACTAATGTTTATATGAGAACCCTTTTTATAGGACTCAAGGAAAACTTCTACTATCCAGCTACGGAGCCCTGATTAAAGCCCATGACCTGATTAAAGCCCATTTCCAGTGGACAGGTGGCCCGCTTTGAAACATGAGTTCGGAGCTTCCTCTTCTTCGCCACAGGTAAAAGAGAGAATCCAACATTTCGGGTCTGAATCTAACCCGTAATAATATTCCCTGTAAATGTCATCCGTTGAATAGCTTATCTTCAATTTGTATTCCACCGTTGGATCTAGGGTTACGATAACTTTGTCATCGTTTATATATCTTCTCTCTCCACTTTCCAAAACCCTTTTGCTTCAGCGGCTCAGCCACAGAGAGAGAAGAGCGCTGAATCGGGCCAATTGAAGATGGTGCAAAGGCTCACTTATCGCAAGCGTCACAGCTATGCCACCAAGTCCAACCAGCACCGGGTCGTCAAAACCCCTGGTACTTTCTTCATAGATATATGTGTGTGTGTGTGTGTGTGTGTGTGTGTTTGTTATAAGAATATCTATATCTATATTCGATCTGTGAGTATACTGATGTGTGTGTGTGTGTGTTTTGGGGGGCTGGAAAAATGATCAGGTGGAAAGCTAGTGTATCAGAGCACAAAGAAAAGAGCAAGTGGACCTAAGTGTCCTGTTACTGGCAAGAGAATCCAAGGGGTATGTATCCTGTGAATCTGTTTAAAAAAACTATTGTTCCAACTCAATATTTTGTGGGAGAGCAAATGACTCATTAGAATTAGATTAGCATGTACTCTGTGAACTTGAAATTGTTATTTGGCTTTATCATCTACATTGAGTAGTGTGCTTGTGGTGTATGCATTCATAATTACAATTATGGATCACCTCATTACAGTTACCAGTTTGTTATCATCTCTGTGATTGGATGTTTGAAAAGTAAAGGGCATTTCATTTTATTGTTGTTTCTGTTCAGCATTTCTGGTTTTCCAGGCAAACATTTTATTTGCTTCATTATGATTTATTAGTATATTTGCTCTCATCTGAATATCCGGTATCAAATTCTAGCGGGTAAGGTAGTTACCTAGTTTGTAGGTTGCAGAATTTATTTGTTCAGATTGGCCATTAGATTCCTGGGCCACTGAGCTTTAGTATTATTGTTTTATGCATAACTTGTGGCAACACATCTGGAGTGAACACTAGAGCTGTGATATATGTAAAGTTAGGAAGACAATTGTTTTTTTAGTATATTACTTAGTTATGTTAGCCAATAGCAAACTTCAAGGATCAGAGGATTCAAATATCCACAGGTACAATTTTTAGGGTTTGTTGATACTCTTCCTCAATGCAACAGGCATAGTTCTTACCTCATTGTTCTCAAGGGTGTTTTTGACTCTATCCTAGTAAGTTTATTACACGGTAGAGATTTTTACAAAGTATAATATGGGTATATAGGTGTGACTCAGGGAGATCAGAGATGTGATTGAATATTTGCAAGTCCAAGTCAAGATTACTACAGAATGTGCATGAGTGGTCATTGAAATAATGTGTTTTTGGTCGTAATCGAGAAATAAACGCATTGGAAAGGAGATCTTAAAATTAAATCAACTGGGTAAAAACACAGGCCTTCAATTTACATGCAAGCTTGACCTGAACGAAGACTAACTGTGCTTGGGTGTATGCCTACAAAACTATTTAAAGGTGCTTAATCATGGGTATGGGGTGCTAGGGCTTGCTGTTCTTTTTGGGAACCTCAAAATCCCTTACAATGCACAGGCAAATGCTCATTGGTAGTGATGAATCTAGAGACTATGTCTATGTAGGCCAAGAAGGACAAGTCTTCAAGGGTGGAAACCATATAACTGTAAGACTGCCATACCATTCAAGGAATATTTCAAAACTTGTGGGCGGTTGCCACTATCTGCCATCTGCTAGATCCATTATTGATTGGCATACTTTTTTTGATAAATTTTGCGGCTTTACTTTATATTTAATTTTGAAAGCATTTGATTTAATGATTAATCATATTGATTGTACTGGTAACACCTTTTCAAAGGAAATATGTCATTTTTGTTAATGATGGAATTTAAGTTCAGGGTGTGTAGGACATTGTGTTTTTCAAACTTTCAGCAACCATGTGCACAATGGCATGTGTTTACTGGGCATGACCTATATTGTTTGTTTCTGCTTACCAGTCATTTTTCTTGACTGTTGAACATCTTGTTTGCTGTCTTTCATGTGGCCATGTACACAATATTGCCAGGTGGCTAGTACATGGCATGACCACAGTTTTTTTCTTCTTTCTACTCACTCTCTTAAAGGTTGACATGGTGGAATTCCTTTTTGTGAATTTGCATATTGAATATTTCTGTTGGTTGATTAAAATGTGAAAGGGTGATATTTTTGGCCTTTAAGGAACTATGTTAGATCAATCGATTTGTCTCAAAGTAACTTCTGTGCAAATAATCGGTTGCATGGAAGTATGTCAAATGTTTCTCAACTTTTACTTCTCACATCTCTCTATTTTTTGGATAAGTAGAAGAAACCCAAGACTGTATATGAACAGTTTCATGGTTGAGAACCTGAAATGCCCTCAATTTTCGCTAGTAGATCCATGTATTGCTCAGTGGACCCGTCCAATGAGGGAGGGAAATATTGGTTATCACATGTGAAGTATCAAGCATTATTTATCTCTTCAAAGTTGGTACAATTTGAAAGCCATGACACAAATATTTGTCGTGTCTGCAGATTCCTCACTTGAGACCTGCCGAATACAAGAGGTCTAGATTATCTAGAAACCGAAGGACTGTGAACCGTGCTTATGGTGGAGTGTTGTCTGGGGGTGCTGTAAGGGAAAGGTATATATTTGTGAGCACATGGCAGCAGTAGCATTATCTCTTTGTTTATTTGAGTAATTGGCAATCTGGATTGCTCACATGTAGTTCATGACACGTTTTGAATTGGTTTTTAGGATCGTTAGAGCCTTTTTGGTGGAAGAACAAAAAATTGTGAAGAAGGTCTTGAAGATTCAGAAGGCCAAAGAAAAGCAAGCTGCCAAGAGCTGAGGTGAGAATTGTGTATCCATACAGCTGGCGAGAAGGAAACATTGAAATGTAATGTGGGAGGATTTCAAGCTTAGTTTTGTATTTTCTTGCGTTTTTTCAACTGTGACTTTTAGTGCTTTCACTTTGTCGACAAGCTCATTGTGCTAGGATTTTGTTTTCCTATTGGTATCTTTAACTTAATTTTGGATTCCATGTAATCTTTTTCTTTTAGTGAAGTTTAATCTGATTCTATTTACTCTCCTTTTCTCTTTGGTACGTCCTAAGATATGAAAAGATTTATCAGTTGCTACATGTCGCTTGCACACTTGTGTCTGCTTCCTTTGCAATTTGTCCTAGGCATATACATGATACATAATAAATGTTGCATTTTGGACTAGAAAATCTTAGATGTCGAAATTCCAATCACAGCTCACTCTTACAATAAGGTAAAGAATTCACATTTGATCATTAGCAAAGGGGCTGGATTATTAGCATTTTGTTTACTTTGAGCTGAAAAAGGGTGTAATCTTATTTTCTCTTATGATGGAATCATTAGTGATTGAAGTAATGTGACACAAGCCTTCAATGAGTGGGATGTGGCATGTCCCGCTGATGAGATTGGGGTTGAAATTTGATCCAACCTAGTTCTAAGAGGAGAGAAATGGCAGGAGGAAGGGGAGGAGTGATGCAATTAGACCTTCTAACATGTCGCATTGAAGTTCCAGTCTACACTAAACTGAACTAGCTTCCTTAAAAAGAACTTGAGTGCACAACACTGAAAATAATGAAAAATGACATCAAGTCTTATGTCAAACTCAAGTATAACCCCTGTTTGTAGAATAATTAGAGGACATCTCAGTAGGACAAGGTGAAGGATACCACAGCAAATTCGACTTCCATTCGTAAGGCATACTGAATGGCAAACTGAAAGGGAACCCACCAGATCTCATGGTCTCCCACTGGTCACCAAATTCCATCAAATTCGTGTCATTTATTGATGATTCTTCTCCGGGACCAAGGTTCCCTTGCATCTCCGGTGCTAAAGTGCTTGAAAAGCCTTTCCACTGCTGTTGCAACCCACTATAAGCTATACTCTCATTCGTCTCTGAGGCCTTGCCAAAACCTCCAAACATGGAGGATGGCATGTTTAACAGCAAGGAAGAAGCATCACCGGAGCATTTATGGGGTTCCAATGCCTCGGGGGATATAAGGGTAGTGTAGCAGCTTGCCGGAGGCCTCCCCTTGCAAGGGAAACCTGAGATGGTTTACTTATCATTCTGTTGATTGGTTTGTATGGAGGAATATCACTACAACCAAATTGGATGGCTGAACTTGTTTCTGTTGTCAATGACATGTTCTCTGTTATGGTACTAATGAACTGACTAGTACTATGAACATGTTGGGTCAGCAGATCAGATGTAATGGTTTCAGGCAAAGGATACACCCAAGAATGAGAGAGAGCTCTTTGTGTATTGGAGTTTGTTTTCTTAAAGATTCTACAAATTGCCCATGAATCCTGCAAAATCCAGAACAATCAAACTAGGTTAATCTATCCCGGTATTCGGAAAGTGAAAATGGTGAATTTCAGCAAAAAAAATGCTTGAAAATACTTGCATTGGTCGGAATGTTTTTGTCTGTGAATCTTTTAGGTGGCGCCGAGGAGGCGGCGATCGGAGGTAATCGGAACTCATGCATCATCCAGTCAGTTTTGATCCCTTTGGCAGCTCTGCCTTTGTAGAAAACAAGGGACTTCTTCAATCCTATGCACTTGGAACTCTCCACGGAGTAGATTGGCCGGTCGGTTCCGGTTGCTTTCCAGAACCCAGCTCCGGTGACTCGATTAGGCCTTGCACTGTTTCTATATTTCCGGTCCCTTGGACAGTAGAAGTACCATTCTTTCTCCCCAGTGGTTGCCAACTCTGCTTAGTTCACACGAAGAACATTAAAGTTTCATGTCATTTGTCCAGTACCATAAGACATTAAAACAATGATAATTTTTTTTTGTGATTTATATTCAAGCCCGCGCTATTGACCTTCAATTTGAAGGATATTAAGGCACGTTGATCATGGCGTCGCAAAACGATATCAGGCAATACAGTAAAAGTACTGTAGAAGAAGTAGAAAAAGAAGTTGACATCACAAGATATTCTTGCCATATTGGGACATTGGGAAATGGTTTCGTCCAACTCGGTATATTAACTTGGACATCTCATAATTGACTCAAAGATATTTCAGACAATTCAGCCGAGTTGCATGAAATTCGTATTTTACATGTAAAATGAAACGGTATCAGAATAAAAGGTGCTGAATCAAAAGCAAGTCAACTGATACTATAAATCATGATATATATATATATATATATATACACACATTATATATACAACAAAATGGTAGTTATACGGAGGTGCTTTGGCCGGGATAAGCAGTTCAGTTCAACTTCAACCAAAGTTGGGAAAGCTCTATAGACAAAAAAAGCAAGTGTAAAACCAACTGTAACAAAAGAAAGAAAAGATGAAGGCAAAGTACAGTACTAAGACAATCTTACTTGGAAGATCCCATGGATCATACTTATAGAGGTCTACTTGCTTTATAATTTCAATGGAGAGAGGCAGCTGCTGAATCTTCCTTTTTAGATAAAATCCAACAAGTTCTTCGTCAGTCGGATGAAACCGAAACCCTGGTAGCATTGTTTCATCCATTTTATCATCGTCATTTCTCTCATCCATACGTTTCACCCTCTCTCTATAATATCAAAACTCTTTTTTTTCTCTTACGAGAAAGAGTAGATGAATTGGTTGAGGTATAACACAAGAAGATTAGTTCTTCTCTCCCCTTAGAATGGACAAATAACTGTCTGAAAGGTTCCAAAGATTCGAAAACCTAACAAGAAAAGTACTACGAAAGGTTCATTGTGGTTCTGTGAAAAATAGCTCCAACACAAAAGTAAAACTGAGGGCAAACAATCCAAACAGAGATGAACCCAAAGAGACCAAGTTGGCAATATTGAAGTTCAATCAATTTGAAGCCATTATGTGCTTCCTGAGAAGGGCTCTGCCTCCGAACGATCAGCCGCATTTTCTGTGGACATTAAAGGAGCTTGTTTTTGCGAGGATCGCGTTAACTTTGAGGCAAACTCTTATGAACAGCTACCAAGAAACTGTTAAGTCAAGCGCATGGATTCCAAGCAAAGACTCTTATTTCTTACTTCATGGATTCATAAATCCATTTGGGTTTTGTTTAATCCAACTTGAGGAATCTCAAGGACTACCAAATCAACTGCTTCTGGGGATCATGTTTTGATTGCTGCTTTTCATATTTCTCACATTAATATCATTGAATTTTTTTATATCATCTACATATTGAGACAAAGCAAACTGCAGTGTACTTGGCCTTTTTTTAATACATAGGCTTGAATTGTTATTTGGAAGAGTGGACCAAAACCAACTTCCAAAGCAAAAAGCTCAAAATTATATTCAGTTGGTAAACTCCTATGAGACTCAAGTGTAAGAGATTATTTATTGAAGAAGTCTGAGTTTGTCAGGATCCAAAAATCACAGTTTCTATTCCATTCCCAGAGCTTCTATTCCACTTACTTGTCAGAGATGAATAATAAGTTTCCAATGGACAGATGAAGAAGCCACGTGAAGGACCACCTAGCCTAGTTGGAAGTTACTGAGACTTCCTCCATTTTGCTCTTTTGGGTCCAAAACTTCTCTTGCGAGAGAGAAACTCTACTCCCAAACAGGTGGTCGCTGAACATGGTTCAAGGTCACGGTATCGGTTATCAACTTGAAGAGCATTAAAATATATCGGTCGCAGAGTCACGATGCAATATCAGGCGATACGATCTTAAAAAAATATTGAACATGACGAGAGATTCAGGTCATACCGCGGTATCGCGGAATCATATCAGCCAATTTGGTGACGATAACTCATCAATTCGGGATTGACTCGGATACAATTCAGTCAACTCGGCCGACTCATGAGAGACTCAAAATTTATACGTATCATGTAACGTTATCGTCTCGGAAGGCACCAAGTCGGATACGACTCGGTCAATTCGTATTGGTATCGATATCGACTGATACTTTAAACCACGTAACTGAAAGCACACAGCCTCCAACCTCCATCTGGTTATAGTTCCTACAAAAATGAATTTTTCAAAATTATTTCTCAAATTTTGCATCCCGAATCAATGTAAATGACTAGATCAGTGGGTCTAACTAAAGTTTTTTCAAATGGACTTATATATTGGCATGTCATTAACGTCCTTATTTTGGAGATTCTAATTGATTAATGATTGAAGTTTAGAAAAGAGAAATCTCATCAGTTTAAACTGGACTAACTGTCAACATGGCATTTGCAACAGTAATTAAAAATCTTTTCTGTAATGAAAGGTTGGTGTTGTGGCACTTGAAGAGAAGAATAAGCCAATTTCCTCCAATTTTGATGTCTTTTGCAAAACCAGGGCATGGGTTTCCCCTATTTCTTGCTTTCTGTAAATAAATTTTGAACTTACAACGGATCAAATTTAGAGTAATCATAAATAGTCAAAACGCTCAAACAACACATTGCGAATTCGAGTTTGAAAATTACTCTCCAAAATAAGGACAAATATGCTATAAGACATAAACAGGAGATTTGTGCACTGGTTACAAATTTTATATTTTGAACTTCCTCCAAGACTCGATCGTATATTCAGCAAACACAATTTTTTAAGTCGGTAGCTAGTAATCTAATTTGCAGAACAATGTCTACTTTGTTGAAAACAGCACAGTACCAAGTAATAAGTAGGGAAAACTAGGGGATTCAAATTTAGTGAAACGCCCCAAAAGTAACCCTTATTTTCAACCATGCTTGTCTGGTCCTTGACCTAGGGCTTGCTTCCAATCCTTGCAACCAAAGTTCAAAAAAAAATGCCTCAAAAGTCTTCCAACTCAAGCATCCAATGCCTCTCCCTATGTGAACTCTACTAACTAACCTCCTCAAATCAATCTATCCTTTGCAGCAACTTAAGACGTGGACCACCATCTTTTTAGCTATGTTGATGTGGCATATTGACCTGGCATCTTTTGATGACGTGGATCTCTCTGGAACAACCATGTGTTGAAATAGCACGAACGCTAAAAAATATTCATTGCAATAACGATATCACGTCAGAATTGTCACGTGGTATCACCAATCAATAATATACAGACAAATAAATAAATGAATCTCACACAAGTTAATAACTACACGTCCATGTAAGCAAATAATTACTCATTTTTCTTCCATGTCAGTCAATAACTAATCAAATGGGATTCACTTTGTCCATTTAAAATTTTATTATTGATTGGTGATACTTGACATGATATCACCGTTGTATTGAAAATTCTCTCCACAAGTGCGTCCTAGCGTGGCATTACACCGTGGCTAACCTAGTATTCCATAGACATTATATGATATTGTGTAGGAAAAACCTAGACCTATCCATGAGAAAAGAAATTGACTTCCTAAAACATATCAATGGTCTCCGATCCAAAAAAATAAATCAAAAAAATTATTTATTGTTTATTAACGGAAACTCTCCGATACTTTAGTTAATCAGATAAGGAGAAAAAAGTTGTTTTCGAACAATAAGAGGTATTTATAAGTTGAGTATAACAAGACTAAACAATTGTATCTATGCGAACAAAGCGGAAAATTATGAAGGTTGACCCAAGAAAGATTTGATTTAAGTATAGGTCATAGGTGTGGCATCGTCATTCATACTGCCGTCCTGTGGGCCTGGGCTTGGACCTGGTCAAGACTTACAAGCTTTTTCTTTTTGGTTCGCTGTAATCGACCTCGTGACAAAATGACTATTATGCCCACATAATTTGTTTCCATCTCACATCGACCAGGTGTAAACTTAGACATTCATAATATGAACTATTTGGTACATTTTTCTTACAAGTTGAGTTTCAATAGTCAGTTATATTTATGGTATCAAAACCTACCATCACTTAGGAGTATCAAATTTAACACAATATATGACTATCTATAGATGAATCACTGGAGGAGAACCCTATGAGCTACCATTGTTCCTCAATAACTCAGTAGTAGAGTAGTCGGATGTTAATTGATTGATCGTAAGTTCAAATCCTACTTAGGGAGATTTGATTAATTCTGAATTGAAAAATTTTAAATAAAAAGACTTACTTTGACGTTAAGAGTAAATAACTATTTTCTGTCTCTATTTTTATTACATTCTATCTCGTCGTATCATATTCTGTTACGCGAGATTTGAAAATATTTGTCAATACTTAGGTGTAAGTCCAGAATAATCCTTTGTTCTATAGGCTGGTGGCTGGGACTTAAAAAAATGTCTTGATATTCTGCATATGTTTTGTGGTAAGTTAAAAAATAATAATGAAATGACTAAAATCGCTAAAAAGAAGATATTGTCAAATCAGTGCCAACAAAATGAACTATTGTGCACGCTGATTGAAGAATAATGATGATGACATGTTAGTATCACAAATCGATTAAACATGAACTCAATTGCGTTCATATAAACTCTTTTAACACTTTTTCTATGTAAATCAATTTCTAAAGAGAAGTTTTATCTACGTGTTCAAGGTATAATCACTACATCGTTTTATTAGGGAAGAAGTAATGTTACGACTCCCTACCACTATGAAGAAATTTTCAAACCAACCTTCTATCACTATGATGAACCTAATGGATTAACATGCCAATATATAAATTGCCTTAGATAAGATTAATGGAAAATAAGAGGGAGGGTAATGCTATTTTAAATGGAATGACGCATGCTATGATTAGCTCCAAATTCAACGAGACTTGGTCTTTCTTCATTGATTTTGCATTCCTGTCCATTTGTATTTATTATTCCACGTTCAGTCCATTTGAGATTTAGAAAAACATTAAAACGAAAGGGACATTAAACAAAACGAAAAATGTCAACTCACACGGGTAGTTCAGCGAAATGTAATTTATTTTTGAAAAAAAAAATTAATTTGAATGTTCTTTGATCGATTCTAGTTAAAAACCCTTGATTTTAACAATAGTTCTGATTAATGATAGTCAATTGGATTAACGCTGTAAGCGCATAAATATCATAACTTTCAATATTAAACTTCTCTAGATCCAGATTTTTTCTCGTATATTTTTCATAGTGATGAGAATTCATCTTCACATGACAAGTCCATTTGAATTTATGGTCGATTTTATATGAACGAGAAATACAAAAAAAATTAATAAAAAAAGTGTATGTGAGGGATTCTATTATTGTTTTCTTATGCCACATAAACCTTCTCTTTAATACGAGCTTGGAAACCACCGACGACCCATCAATGATTTTCAGATGTTTAGTACAGAGGAGACAATACAAGGCAATCCTTGGTTTAGACATTAACAGTTGATGGACCACACCACCCCTACACTGGTGGTGGAGTCCCAAGTGCATGACATACCTGCCCTTGAGTCCCAAACACCACACCATTTGATGCACCTCACCAACCCATCCCCCTTTTTTTTTTTTTTGCCATGGTGTTTAAGGTTGTTTATATGCGTCTTGATTAATCATCGCTCTGGTCTCAGTCAAATTCTCCCTTCTATCAAATTTACTCATATTAATTGTTTGAACTGCCTATTTTTACCCTCAAGTATAAAAACTAATATTTGAACCTTGTATTTTTATTGTTATAGACAAAATTGGACATCAATATTTTCGGTATGGATATGATAAAAATATTCAATCAAAAATTTCCTCTTATAGACAAAATTGAATCATTTATTCTAACATTTTTGAGAAAAAAATTATATCAATACCAAAATTTAATTTTTTATTCACCCTATAAAAAAAATATGTCAAAAGGACTTACCTTAAAAAAAATTAACAAAAAAAAATTTCCAATAAATTTTTCTAGAATAAATAAAAAAATAAGTTCCATTGGGGATAGATTTTATTTTCTCAATATTGATAAGTCACATGATTCAATTTTGTCACCAAGAGCAAACTTTTAATTTTCTTTTTCACTTAAGGGTAAATTGGATGGTTCCAGTCATTAATTTGATTAAATTTGACAAAGGGAAAATCTGTCACAAGTTGTCATATCTTAAGGAGTTCAGTATAATTTCAAAAATAAAGAGAGGGAGAAAGAGAGAGTATAATGAAAATGTCAAAACAAATAGGGTATTAAGTGTAATTTAATCTATTTATTTAAGGAAATTTGGAAAGAAGTGGGAAGATCTGACTTTAGACCATTATTGGCGCGTGGGTCCCATCCTGGATACGGGGTCGTATGTCTCTGGACTCTGGGTCGCGAACATGAACCCAAATGGTGTGCACTGCACTATAGCATACCTGGATATTTTTCTAAGAGCGAATTATATTTTATACTTCAAAATATTTCAAAAAAAAAAATTTTATATTCTTAAAGATTATATTTTTAATATTATACATTTAATATAATATTTTTTTTTAATTTATTTTCGTTATTCATTATGTAAACAAGTATTTTTTTAGAGAAAAATACGTTGTAATAATTTTAATATATTAGTAGAATATAAATTTTTAATTTTTGTAACAATTTTAATATATTAATAAAATATAAATATTTAATATTTGAACATATAAATAAAAAATATTAAATCTTTTTTGGTACAAAATAAAATTCCCCCTTTTTATGATGATTAATACTGTCGATATTGAAAGTGTGTTTGTGTGTGTGAGAGAGAGAGAGAAAGGGGTCTGTATATAAGTATATATATGTACACGTAACTCTTGGAAAATCATAGCAATTGAAAATCAAGCTTGGATTTTCATTGATCCATTGAAAGTTTTGTGATGTACAAATTAGCTCTTGTTCGGCATTATTGACAGTGAGGAAGCTGAAGCAGAGTTATCAAGATCGTCAAACAGACTCGCATAACTTGATGCCATTTGTAAGAGATTTGAAACTTGCCTGGTTTAAGATCCTCAAATTTCTACCAGTATCGTGAATTGTTTATTAGATTTACTTGTTAATTGTGCTTTGTATCTGGTTAAAAGATGGTGTTCTTCTGTATTCATATGCTCTGAAAGCTTTTGTTTTTTTTTTTCAAATTTGATTTATGTGCTAAATTACCTGTTTTGAATGCAATTTTTCTTTTTGATGAACTGCTTTTTTGAGTCTCTCGTTTAGTTTGCAGTAGCTGGTTTGGATTTTGAGGTGACCATATATTGATTTTATATCCATAAGAGATATGAACTTTAATAATTTATTGATATGTTGGAGATTTATGTGAAGTAGAGGTAACTTGGTAAAGTCAATTGAATGGATCTGTTGGTTTAGAAATTATGTTGGGTGGAATCAATTTATTCTGCTTAAACCCGGGTTTTATTCAGATTTTTGCAGTTTTGTAAATTTGGAAAATTAAAGATGATCAGATGAGTCTTATTCATACCCAGATCGATTCTAGGTCCAGTAGTTATATTTACATACTTTTGTGACAAATCAGGCATAGTGTATGACATTACTGGACCTCATTGATGTTAATTATTGATTGTTTCGCAGTTTCCTAGTGTTTGTCATGTGAATAAGATCTGGGATCTAGTTCATTTTGTGCATTTATGTTGTTGGAAGACTGTCAGGCACACACACATTCAACAGATAATCAAGGGCACATCCCCATTTTCTTATCCATTCTGTAATATGTCTATTTCTGTGTGGAAACTTTTCAGGGTGGATGATGGCAAATAAAATAAATTTGGGTGATAGTAGAACTAGAAGTCCTGTATCAATTTTTATCGTCGCTGGTCTGTGCTGTTTCTTCTATTTATTGGGAGCATGGCAGAGAAGCGGGTTTGGGAAGGGAGACAGTATCGCTGTGGAAATGACCAAGAGTGGTGCAGATTGTAATATCCTTCCAAATCTGAATTTTGAGACCCATCATAATGGTGAAGCTGTCAGTATATCAGGATCTAAAAAAGTGTTTAAGCCATGCCTCCCTCGCTATACTGATTACACACCTTGTCAAGATCAAAGGCATGCAATGACCTTCCCAAGGGAAAATATGATCTACCGAGAAAGGCATTGTGTTCCTCAGGAAAAGAAGTTGAATTGCCTCATTCCAGCACCCAAAGGATATGTAACCCCTTTTCTATGGCCAAAGAGTCGTGATTATGTTCCCTTTGCCAATGCACCATACAAGAGTTTGACTGTTGAGAAGGCAATTCAAAACTGGATTCAATATGAGGGCAATGTATTTAGATTCCCTGGTGGAGGAACTCAGTTTCCTCAAGGGGCCGATGCATATATTGATCAGCTTGCTTCCGTGATACCAATTGAAAATGGGACTGTCAGAACTGCGCTGGACACTGGTTGTGGGGTATGTTGGGTTTCTGGAACATCTTTATTTTCTAAGTCTTCTCTGACTCGATTTGTTCCTTCGTTTGGCATGTTATACTGATGTTTTCCTACCTGTGCATTATCTGTATGGTTAATCTTTAACAGTGAATTATTGTGCTTAGGTTGCAAGCTGGGGTGCATACCTTTGGAAGAGAAATGTTATCGCCATGTCATTTGCACCAAGGGACTCGCATGAAGCACAGGTTCAGTTTGCTCTTGAGAGGGGTGTGCCTGCTGTTATTGGTGTTCTTGGAACAATAAAAATGCCATATCCGTCTAGAGCATTTGATATGGCTCACTGTTCTCGTTGCTTAATTCCATGGGGAGCAAATGGTGAGTATTGTATAGTAACCTTATTTTTGTCCATGAAGCTTACACAGTTCAAAAAGACCAACAGCATCCCCTTATGTGTTGAAACCCTGTTTCACTTTTCCTTTTTTTTAATTTAGGATTCTAGTTATTTATCTTTTTTTTAAATCAAATTTCTTTGGGTTGTGGCAGCAGTGTATGTGATTGTTTTCCTGGAATGTTTCTCTATGCAGATGGAATGTACATGAAGGAAGTTGACCGAGTTCTCAGGCCTGGTGGTTACTGGGTGCTTTCTGGTCCTCCAATCAATTGGAAGAACTACTACAAAGCATGGCAGCGCCCCAAGGAGGAACTTGAGGAAGAACAAAGAAAGATTGAAGAGATTGCTAGACTTCTTTGCTGGCAGAAAATTTCTGAGAAGGGTGAGATTGCTATATGGCAGAAAAGTAAGAATGCTGACTCATGTCATGGCACACAAGATGATTCTCAAGCTAATTTTTGCAAAGCTACAGATGCAGATGATGTCTGGTACATTGCTTAACATGATTTTCAATGCAAATTACTTCTCATTCTTCATTTATTTGATGAAAATTTACATTGTATCTATCAGGATCTTGAGTAAGTTTGATGTTTCGGATTCCCTAGTAGAATTTATAACACCCGGTACTAATTGATCTTTTGAGACATTCTGACGTTGATTGCTATACTATACGGGTACTTTAGTAATTCTTTAAGCAGATATATTTTGAATTTTGAGTGGCTTATGTGTCAACCTTGCCCCCCAATTCTTGATTTGTAGAGTTGTCTTGGGGATGAGCACAGGTCGTTTAATCTTCCAGATTTATCAGTAGTTAGGTACCGGGGCCGGGCCCACTCTATGTCTCGTGAACCCTAAAAAACAAGCTTGACCTCTGTTATCTATTTGCAGCTGCCTTTTTTTTATATCTTTTTCTGTTTGAGTTGGCTAATCAGCCCAGGGAAAGAAGTTGCCTATGTAATGTGTTTTTGAGTCTCTTTTTTTTTTTTGTGGTGGTTGATTACCAGGTACAAGAAAATGGAGGCATGCATAACTCCATATTCTAAGGGGAACAATGACGAATTTTCTGGTGGGGAACTCAAGGTGTTTCCAGAGAGGCTTTATGCTGTTCCTCCCAGAATTGCTAGTGGATCTGTACCTGGAATCTCTACTGAGAAATACCTTGAGGACAACGAAAAATGGAAGAAGCATGTAAATGCCTATAAGAAGGTCAATAAAATTATTGACTCAGGAAGGTATCGCAACATTATGGATATGAATGCTGGGTTGGGAGGTTTTGCTGCGAACCTTGAGTCTACTAAATTGTGGGTTATGAATGTTGTGCCCACTATTGCTAAGAAAAATACACTGGGTGTCATATATGAGCGAGGACTGATTGGTATCTATCATGACTGGTATGATTTTTGAACTTTTTGTCCTATCTGCTTTAGAAATTATTGCTCTTAATTATCTTTTTACTGTATATCCCATATCTTCCTAGAAAATATGCTTAATCTTTACCGGGATATGTTATATCTCTTTCTATTTGTACCATATCCAATGTTGTTTTACTGTCACTTGGGAGAAATCTAGGTTTTGATAACTGTAACTTCCGTTAACACCATCTTTTGGTATTTTGCTAGCAAAAGTGAGGGAGCCAGTATTTAATTGTTTCCATCTTACTATTTATCTAGATTTAGAATATCATGCCCACATGGATGATGGATCCCTAGTCTAAAAAGTTTCTCATAAGGTATTGCCAAATAAAATGATTGAAATGCTGGGAAAACGACAATTATTGTTGTTGGCATTCTTGTGAAGGTATATTGCTAGCAAATGCGAGGGAATCCTAACTGGTTTCCATTTTTAAATTGATCCAGATTTGACAATCGGATCCATTCGAATCAATAGTTTGCTTTGCCAGTGTAGTTTGTAAAAGGTGAAATAGGACATCTCCTATTAAGAAATACTAGATCATGACAATCATGGTATGGACAATATTGTGAAGGCCCCTTATATTTTGAGATAAGTTGTTCCAAGTGTTTCGGGGAAAAATTACATATTTAGCTAATCTCAACTTTGATCCTCATTCATTTCATTTAATTCCTTGTGACCCCTAGAAACAATCAAGGCACTTGCTGATTTTTCTGCTTTCTGGTTCAGGTGTGAAGCCTTCTCCACATACCCAAGGACATATGACCTTATCCATGCCTATGGTGTTTTCAGTTTGTACAAGGGCAAGTACGTTCTTTTGTATTCATTATGCTTTATAATTTTTAAGGGTAAATTTTATTTTGTCTCCTTGAGCTTAGAGACCCTGCAATTGCATACCCCTCACCTTCAAAAATATCCACAAAACCGTCGTGTGGTTTGTGGGCCCAAATTATGCCATTTGGGTTTTGTCCAATGAGGAAGCACTTCCCCCCAAAATAAAATAAAAATAATGAGGACTGGAGGGAAAAATGGAAAAAAGGAAAGAGAAAAAAGGGACACAATTTGTATGTTCAGAACTTTTTCTGATGCTACCAGGAAACCCAAACCAAATTATTTCATGATTTTGTGAGGATAATAGTGTATGCCCTGTCTTGTATCTCTTGCCCCTTACCAGATTATGTTCAAATCGAGAGATGTGTAAGACTCCCGCTTATTCTAATCAAATGCATACAGGTGTGATTTTGAGGACATTCTTTTGGAGATGGATCGGATTCTGCGACCAGAAGGTGCAGTCATATTCCGCGATGAAGTTGATGTGCTTGTTAAGGTGAAGAGGATAGTGGGAGGGATGAGGTGGAATACTAAATTGATTGATCACGAGGATGGTCCCCTTGTACCAGAGAAAATACTGGTTGCCGTCAAACAGTATTGGGTCATCACAGAAGACAATTCCACATCCTCTCAGTGAATGCCTTGAAAGGAAAAGGAAAGACTTCCAAATCATGGCATTACCTCCAAGTGGACAATGTTTCTTTTGTTATACAAGTCCACGCGTGCGCAATTCTTTTAACCATGAGCATTTTTTGCTGGATGAGTGGTTTAGCTTGGGGAGGACTCACTCACATTGTACACGTTTAACCAGCTGTTGATCAAACCATATTTTTTCACAGTAGTATGGATGATGAAGCTGTGTCTTTAACATTTACGCAACATATTTGATCCGTTTCTTTGTTTCCCTTGTGTTGACCTCTTTATCTGTATTGCACGATAGTATATTCATTGGTCATGCTCTCTCTCTCTCTCTCTCGTGTGGATGAATGTGCACACTTCAACGATGTCTAGCTGATATTACACCGTGATTTGCCAGTGAGTTCTGTGCCTTGTATCCGTTTGGGGAGAAGGGTGGAAGCTGTGCCTTTAACATTTATGCTATATATTTGCTCCTCCTCATTGTTTACCTTGTGTTGACCCCTTCATCGGGAGAAGGGTGGATCTAAGTAATTGATATCCCCTGCACCTGATCATGAGCTCAAAAACTGTAATGAGTTTCTTGATTTTTTTCATATTGACAGTCCAACAGTTACTGTAGGCTGAAATTGCCACCGGACATTTCAATGTCGAGTATTCAGAAATAACAGTACTAATTCACATACTCCGAGATAACATAACAAATTGTGAAAAAATAAAGATCTACACAATCAATAGCAATGGTTTCACCTCGAACATGGCTCACTTAAAATTTGTCTCAAAATATCTGTAGGGACTAAGGACCAATAATACAACAAAATATATGAATATTTAAAAATATACAAATGCATAGATAATCAAGCATTCGAGAAAAAAGAGAAAAAAAGAGGGGAGCAAAAAATTATAGTAGTACATCTTAGTGGCAAACAAGGTATATATTAGTATCATCAATTGTTCTTGCACTCTTTCGTAGGCCGTGCTTCAAAGCCCCCTCCCGCTCTCTTCTCAAGTGAATAAGGCATATAAGTACCAAGTATTCTGTCCCACATGACAAAGAATGGCTGTGAAAAGTTGTATTTAGTGCCATAAAGTTGATGGTGAATGTCATGATAGGCAGAATTATTTCTGAAGAAGACATGGAAGAGGTTTCCGGGCAGCCAGAGCCCACAGTGGTCGTCAACTGTTTTGATGGTAGCAAAGGAGAAAAAAAAGATGGAAGCTCGAGGGGACATGCCAGAGAGGAGGAAAGATAATGCCCCACCAATTGTGTCAAGAAGCAGCCCCTCTAGTGGGTGGTTGTACAGAGCTCCAAATGCATACGGGACAACCAGCTTATGATGTTGAGAATGAATGTGTCGGTACAAGAACTTGTTATGGTGCATATATCGGTGCATAAAATATTGCCAAGTATCTAAAACCACCATTGCAACTGAGAATTGCCTAGCGAGAACAATAAGGGAAAGCTGTTGACCTGTGGCAGCCTCAACATCGTTTCCAGTAACCTACAAACATAAAGGAGTTCACTGGAAATTAGCAGACCAGGTCTTTACACCGTAATTCATGCATGACTCGGCAGACAAACACATAAATGGGTAGGGTGGAGTGGGGTGGAGTGAATTAGGGTAAGGGAGACAGAACTCCTTTGTGTAGCCCATGTGATAGGACCCAAATGGTATAAATAAAAGTGAAAAACAAATTGAAAAAAGGAAAAGGAAAAAACACAGACATGCCAAAAATCTGAGAAAGGTATCAAATTGTTAGATCAGCACATCAAGGACAAATCAAATTATCACATCAATGAAATGTTGAAAGCACCGCCAACCATCTGCCAACTAAATATGGACATATTTGACAGTTGCCATCTTGAACATTTATCAAACATTTTATATCAAAGAGAGTCAACCCTTTATTTGGATTCACTTCTCATCAAAGCTTGTATAAGCAACACAGTAGAGAAAGTCCCATCCAGAACATGCAAATGATACGTCTAGCCATCCACCTTAAAAAAGTGATGCATCAAAATTTCCAGATCTGCCAACTAGATCTTAAACTAAGCCAATTAGTGGGTTCCAAATCTGTCAACTAGATCTTAAACTAAGCCAATTAGTGGGTTCGCTTGTTCTTGATAAGCCTCTTGAATGCTCCCGCATCAAGAAGAATTAAGTCAACTAGATCTTAAACTAAGTCAACTAGATCTTAAATTTCCAAATCTGTCAACTAGATCTTAAACTAAGCCAATTAGTGGGTTCTCTTGTTCTTGATAAGCCTCTTGAATGCTCCCGCATCAAGAAGAATTCACTTAACTTCACAAGAGAATTATGCCATAGGGGGCGAAAAACATTTTCAAATGCTTTCAAGGAAATTTAGTTTAAAGTAGTATGTTTTTGAGCACCATTGCCCCTACAGTTCCTTCCTAAAGAAGATAGCAGCAATATAGAAGAAGAAAAGCAATTTAGCCACACGCCATTTCTATCAAGAATTTGAACAAAACTTCCAATTGCAGATAAAGATTTCATATATCATTGAAGAAGTCCCAATCCCCGGAATAAATTTGATAGCATTTTATTTTAACCAAGCAAACATATTGTACTCATAACTATTTTGTGTCCTACCATATCTTCAAATTTCAATTCACATCAAACTACAGTCTCCCAATCTCAACATGTAGTCAGCTGCTTACTAATATGTGCACATACACGGATCACAGTAAATTATTCAATCAGATAAACTTTTCCACCCATAGCATAATTTTCCAACTGGCTTGTCTTTTTATGAACAAAGTAGCTAACTAAACAGACATAATAATTCAAGTTCAAAAAAAAAAGACAGAATCTCATCAGACAAAAATTCAAACACAACACAAAAAAGGCAAACAATTTTCCAAGTAGATTGAACCAAGTAGCTGATTAAAGGGACATAATAATTCACAATTTAACACCACTTTAAACAATTTCATATATTTTGTTATTCACTCATAAGCTTATCAGACACAAATTCACACATAAAACAAAGAGGAATTTTTTTTTAAAAAAAATGAACAATAAAATGTTTCATGGAACGTACAGCAAAGAGGAGGGTGGCGACGAGAGCTTGAACAGCCTGTTGGAGAAGAACACCTTTAACAACATCTGTCTTGGGCACCAAATTCTTCTCATCCTCCTCTACCTTCGTGTGCAACCGATAATTCTCAAACGATCCGAACAGAATGTAAAATCCAGAGTACGCCCAATACACCACAATCGGCGCAAACGTCCCCAACAATTCATCCGACACCCCAAACACCATTTTTACAAATCCAAAGAGAGAGAAAATCAAATCCTCTTTGAACAGATATATGGATGAACAGAGATAAGGAAATTCCCCAATAATCAAATTGAAAGAAAACCAAACAAACCCTAGTTCTTTTGGTCTGGTCTAAACTTCAAAATTGCTTTCCCAAGATATTTATTGTCGAGGAACGGTAGATGTAATTAAAAATTAGATTCAATAATCTATAAGTAAGTAGCTCTCAATAAATATTAGGATCCACAACGAAATAGATTATCATGTCTAAGTAATATTCCTGTTTATTGTTTAATTTTGTGAAAAGTAGAATCTACGAGTAATGATTTTTAGGGCTCCACCGCGAAAAAAGGACAGTGGGATAGGGGTTTTCTCCGGGTCGGGACGTTGAACCCGATAGAGACAACCAATTTTTTTTTGGTACCTAGATTAATTTTGCTATGTCTTGCCAAGTACACATACGCTTATATCGCTTAAAATAGTAATTTTCAATAGAACTGACGATAAATTTCAGGTACACGGGTCAATTTTTTAAATATATATACTAATTAAATCAAGACTTGTGTTTTGACGGGATTCAAATTCATGCTAGAGATTTAAATACAATCTATCAAAGTAACTAAAGTACGTCGTACTGACCAATTATGTTTTTGTTGGTCAAGAGTTAAACAGTTAATTTTTTTTTAATTTTTTTCTTATCATATCACTTAATATAAATTCAAAATCTATTATATACAATATTACAAATGAATTCCCACTCATTAATAGTGAATAATGAATCACTAAAAAAAAATTAAATAAAAGGTATATTAAAGAAGTTCTAAATCCATTAATCATTTTTACGTGTGATGATGTGCCATCAGAGTAGATAGTAGGAATAAGACTCCAATACCAAACAAAAAAAAGAGAATAAGAATAATTTTTGAAAATAGGTATTTCTTTGATTTATTTATGATTATTAATTATGAAATAAATTAATAAATTTTACAAATGTTACAATTTTTTTATATAAAAATATTATATTTAAAATATTTTGTTAATACTATGAGTAATTGAACCTAAGGATCTGTTGGAGTGACAACACCCTTTAATTTTTCTAACTATTCGTGCTGAGTTGAATTCCTCCTTTTCTCTAGATATCGCCTTGGTTGACTTTTGACTTTGACTGGGTTGTGGGCCTTCCGCGTGATTGTTATTGTCGCCGTTGTGTTTGACTGACCTGGGAGATCATCAGTCGTGTTACTTATACAATGGGCCGGCACAAAACCTAATAATGTAGAGTTTTGATATTATCACTGACCTCCCTGAATTTTTGATAATTACGTCTACAATGGGCCGTATTCCGCCGGAACATAACTGAATGCATGACGGTGACCGTAAGGCCCCTAAAGTTTTGATAATATCACTGACCTCCCTTATCTCAAATTTTGCACCAACTAGGATATTCCTTGTCTTGCTCACTAGTGTTTCGATGGTAATGTAGTGATGGACTACTCCAAAAGAATTTATAATTATGACTAACCGAATATTTTACATCAAAAGAGATCCTCGTGATCACGCCCAAGGGCCAATCGCCCCCCCCTTCCCCATTTATCTTTCAAAAAATAACTAGGATGCTTTCTTTGAGACACAGGCTTTGAAATATGACATGGTTTCCAAGACATTATAGTTCAAACAAGAGAGAAATAGGAGATGATTTCCTATACATTAAACCTGATATAAGAGAAGTTTCTAATCACAAATTTGAAATATGATCTGAGATTAGACTCCTCTCCAATTGCAAAACAATTACAAAAGCCCTCATTTATATTTTCCCTTTTATAAACTGATGCATCTCAGACCAGTGTACATTTTAGCCAACAGCTTATACAGTGTTGTGCTTCTTCAAAAACAAGCATGGAATGGCGTTTGGGCAATTAATCACATATTTGCACCCATCTGACCCAGCTTGGGAATGTTAATATTGCTTCAAAAATAAAATAAATAAAGGAATACTAAAGTGAAAGGAAAAAATAAACAGAAAAATATATTCAGCCAATTGATCTTGAAGCATATTCCCATGTACAAATATTTTCCATACTGTACACTTCAAAGCATTGCAATAAAGCAACTTGTATTGTGTTGTTGTGCACCATGGGCTTGCCGTTCATGATCCTTGAAACGTTATAAAAATGAATGAACCACTATAATGTCCATAATCATCTTCTGGGGTAAGGACTTAAATAATAACATCGTTCTTCAACCCTTTTCGTTTCCATTGTGGCCTTGCTGCAAGTGAACCCCCAAAATTGGTGAAAAAAGAAAACCGAAGCAATGTTGCTTGTCTATCACATGGCTTCTACCTGGGTTTCAGTAACTCCTTTAGGGAAGTTGAGTCGAGCTTGCTTGGTTCGCTTAGTAGGAACTGAAAAGAAAGACAATGATTAATCAGTCACAAATAAATGTGTAATTGTTAATGTGCAAAAAAAAAAAAAGAAGAAAAAAATCCTTGCTACCTTTTGCTTTGTTGTGGTTATTTGATTCAAGAACTGTAGACTTCCACTCCTCGTAAGCATGGTTCTCTGATCGCTTACGTTTCTTGTAGGCTGAAACCTGCACATATATCACACCAATGACATATGATCTAATCGAAAAGATGACATAGCATACTTAGAAGTTAGTAAGATTTCAAAACACAAGAATTCATCGACATTTTTGTCATCTAATAGCTAAATTTCATTGTGGTTTTAGCACATAGGAAATCAAAAGCTAAGAGACAGCTCATAATACCTCCTTTCCTTCATCAGATGAATAGCCACCATCCTCAACTCTTCTTTTTTCAGGCAATACATCTAGAAGATCTGAACATGCAAGGCAAAAATAAGGAAATCCCATGTCATGGTAAAATTCCAACTTATTAGCATCAATGAGAAGTATAATAGTGTGAATACAAATATTAACAAAGTGATAGATCATAACAATGAAATGTTACCTCGGTTCCCTTTCACTTCCTTTGGATCTTTCTTTTCCTTTGATATCCCAAGCACATCAAAGCAAAGGTCCTTCATCGAGGTAGATACCTACAATTTTAAATCTGAATTGGTGTCTGTAGCATACTAAGAAATAAATTAGACAGCAACTACACAAGGAATGGTGTTCCTTACACTAGAAAATTCAGATTCTGATGTGCCGCATAGCTCAATTAACTTAATCTTGTCCACCTTGAGCTGTGAAAGAATAAAGACAAATCTTTTACAAAAAAGGGCAACAGTGAATTGAAAAAATAAATCAACTACTATGAGGTGAAACCAAACATGACAATTCAGCTCCCCAAAACAGTATGTTCAGAAATAGTACACAGACAAGTCTCTATTTGTGTATGTTTCTTGAAAGAGAGAAGCAACTATCTGCGTACCTTGTGCCTTTTTGCACACAAGTAGAATGCTGCAGCAGTAAATACAGGCCGAGTGAAGTCAGCACTTCCCCGACGAGAAGGTGGTAATGATGTGAGAAAACGATCCCTATACCTGAGATTCCACAACATTTATTCTATCATTTACATAAACAATCAAACAGTTTCACACATGATCAGCTTCTCATTTGATCCATAGCCACATTAACAAAAAAAAAAAAATTAAAACAAATGAACATGTGACTCAGTGTTTATAAACCCCAACCCTTTGACTAGTCAAGGAGATTCAATTATCAAGTCTAAACCTTGCACTTGGCCATGATATACTCCAAAAGTTAGAATAAATTAAATTAACTGACACTGATATGTCTTTACTGGGATGTAGAATAAGACAAATAATCACAAGTACCGAAGTTTCTAAGTTTCAGCATTTCCCTGACTCACATATTTCATCAAACACCAGGTATGCATAAGTAACTCAATTCATATATACTCTGAGACAGATGGAATGTAGTATGTTAAAGTGATGGAAATGTAACATACAGAGATAAGGCCTTGTGAACGAAAGGAATGAGCCTAACACATCCAAATTGAATTGCCAATTCTCTGATATCAAGCTTGTTCCTGCAATAAAACCCATAAATCTTCATTTCAATCTGAACTCCACAAGCACGTGCATTGAAAAATACCCATAAAACACAAATGCCAAACAAGCATAAAAAATTATGATGATGATGAAGAACAACTTACTTGACACCGATTCCATTTTGCATTGAATTGAAGGATCTAGAGTAAGCCTTCTCAGACATCCCACTAAGCCTTATCGCACTGTGTCGATCAAATATCACATCCGACCTACATTTATCCCAATCATCCACAATACATCACCCGATCAACTATGCACACACATACAAACAATGTGAAACGAATACAATGTAAATATTGAAATTCATATAAATACCTGGTAGCAGCAATCTCTAAGCAAATAATAGCCTTACAAATCTCCCCCTACGAATCACATACCAGATTCTAAATCAAAACCAAACCTCAAAGTAATAATGAATCGAAGTGTGTTGATTGAAAGACTTACGACTCCGATAATGGAAGAGTCAAATTGGATGTCGGCGAGGCGACGGAGCTCGGCGGCTTTGCGGATCAATTGCTTGGATTCTGAGAGACCCAACTTCTCTGCTAGCTGTGAGAGATCCATTTTAGGTGGAGAGTGGTGATTGATTTGAGGAGGGTTGAGTATAGAATGAAGCAGTTTTGATTCTTTTTTGCATATATTGATGGGTCGGTGAGAGAGAAAACAGTGGCGGGAACATTTTTTCTTTTGCGGTTCTCAGCTTTGATTTCGCGCGCGCTTTTGAAAATGCAGAAGAATGTTGCCATATTTTTTCCCCCGGATTACTCTTTTGGCGCCAGGTCAAACGGCTAAAAAAAAAAAAAAGTACTGTTAGCATAAAAAATTTGTTAGATACTTAGCTAACCCGTGCTTACAGACGGAATGATTTTAAGAAGGATATTAGTGGTCATTGGACGAGTCTCTGACACCATCAAGTAATTTTATTAAAGTTTGCCTTACTTATATTATAGATAATATTCTATTTATATATGTAATAAAATCGAATATATTTTAAATAAACTGTTCGTGTGGACTCAACGCGCACTTATATGATTTGGAGAGAGTTATCTTATGATTTATGTGTTATATCTTTATTTTTTGGTTCATTGCTTGTTATTTTGTCTGGTTCAATAATACTTTTTATATTTGTGAGTTTTACGGACCTATTGGATCAAAAATTTCTCAAACTCGAATATTTTACTCTCTCTAATTGGAGAATAATATCTTAGAGCTCCGCTCAAGGACTTATTAGTTTATACAAATATTTAATATATTTCCTGACAAGAAAAGTCATTTTTAGAGGAAGAGCTATGTAATTTTGAGATCTTTGTGCTCGGTGGTTAGTGATACTCATTAATCTAAACAAACTATACCAATTTGGTGCAAGAAATTTAGAATAAATTTTGAGACGTGCAACTTTAACTTCTTTTTTTAATGGGAAAAGTGACCTGGGAAGTGCCATCCAACTCCTCTAATACTTTGTGTTCACCAGACCAGAGCATTGAATGTGGAACTTGGCAAGTGAAAAACAGGTGGTCTTCTACTTATTTGGCATGTAACAATGTACACATGCCAAGGACAACGACATCATCATTATAGAATAGATATTTTGGATCTTGAAGAATTTTGCAATAATCCAGCATCAAAATCTTCACTATCACAAAATCTGTTGCTACTCATCTCTTAAGCAACTCATCAGATTGCTAATTAGAAGTGAGCTGCCTGAAAATCCCCCTTGCCTCTCTCTGTCTGAATCATCAACACCCATCTCCGCGTACAAGTTTCCAAGTATAACACAGGTCTTTGTTGCTCACAATGAAAGCTTTCTTCAATTTATATTACTTCATGTGCCGTATGCAGGAAACTTGTGAAGCCAACTGAATCATCGCATAACCTGCTATCTAGTTTGATGTCTGAATGGATGCTTCCCCAGTATCACTACCTCGAACAAGCTGGCAAACCAGACGAGCAATTTATGGTTTTGCAGTGAAAACAATATGCAGACTGTTAAAGAATTTATGGAAAAGCCAAAGTGGAAGGAGAAAGAAGAAATTCACAGTACCAAGGAGCCAACTTGCTTGTATGCTTCCATTACTTTTGGGTTTTCCTCGTCTTCATACCCAACTTGCAGTATCCGTGGTCCATTGACTGACCAAAAAACTCTTTCACCTGCCTCCTGCGAGGAGATGAAAATACAAAGATGTGCCACTCATGACAAGGAACTAAATATATTTCCTCAAAAGTGTGTACAAAAGACCAGAGAAAGAATTTGTCTGATGTCTCTAGAACATCAGTTGGCTATGCAAACTTCATTTGTCTGATGTCTCTGGAATATATGTATATATACCCTTCAAGGCTTTTCAAATGTTTATTATTATCTTATTAACTAACAAAATTAGAATTTTGAGTATTAGAGTGCAACTAATGATAAATCTTAGCAACTGTTAGCATGATTTATCATAAAACTTTTAAGAGTCCTCAATTTCACCCTTAAGGTTTTCATATATTTAACATTACTCCTTTAGTTCTATAATTTTCCAATAATGTCCCAATTTTCTCACTGATGCTTTTTATAATGTCCCTCTAATAGCAATTTTTTCTTCTTCTTTTTTTTTTTTTTGGGATTAAAAAAAAGGCATTTTCTATATATACTACTACACTTTTTAGTATCATGTGTTGGATAAAAATTTCCCAATCTTTTCATTCATGACTTATGCTTTCATTTCAGTCATCAGTGCTTTGCATTATTCCCCATTTTTAGAGTGACTAGATTTAGGAATTAACATTTTGAGGGGAGTAGATTTGATAAAAAAACTCACTACCTTTCCTACTACAAATTATTAAAAAAATAATAATTGTGGTTTAAAAACTATTTATACCAAATCAATTATTAAAAATAAATAAAACTCATTAAAAGCAATTATCCCAAATTTGTATTAAACATATTTGTAAAGAGTAAAACATTAAATCACAGTGCTCGAATCAAAGCGTAGAGACCCAAAGGAAGAAAGAATATTATTTGAACTTAATTTTAAGACTTAATCAATTACCACCATTGAATTAAAAACTTATTTCACCCAACTACTAATCATAATTATAAAAATCCTCTCATAACTCTTGCATAATTAAATAGATAAAAACATATTCTATTAATAAAAATAAATAATACTATAGGTATATGAGGTGATGTTTGATAAAACTGAAAATTAAATACTGAATTTTAAGTACCGAATGCTGAATTTTTTAATTCGCAAACTCTTTGTTATCAACTAAAATTTAAGCATTTAATTAAATCAAATTATTTGACAAATATAAGGAGCCAAAGTTTGAAAATTATTATTATTATTCTAATTGTATCTATCTTTTTAACCATCTCATTATAACTACATTTTCCTACCACCACCATCACAATGGTGGTGATGACGGTGACACAATGATAATGGTAATGGCGGAAATGGTGGTGATAATGGAGGCAACACAATTGTTGTGGTGAAATAATGACAATGGTAGTGGTGGTGGTTGTGGCACAATAGTAGTCGTGGTGGTGACAACGACACAATAGTGGTGATGGTGACGGCACAATGGTTAATGATGGGTATTAAAAAGTTAAAAGTGTAAGATGAATTGAGGTTATATTTATTAATTACGAGAAATTTATAAAATTCTTATTTACTAATATTTTTAGCATTAAGTGATGAATAAGTGACTTACTACTTACTATTTTAACTTATTTTTAAAAAGTTATTAAAATATTAAATAGTATGAGTTTTAGGTTATCAAACGGTTTAATTTATTAAGTTTAAAGTATTAGTTTTAAGCTTTAATGGTGGGACTTAATTCATCCATCTCAAGTAACAAAAATTGAAGGGAGAATTATATTATGTCACTTAATCACTCATACGCTTGATATTTAAAATATTACATATAGATTCCCTGAGATTTATACACACGTAACATTTAGACTATTTTAGTCAAATATCCGTTAATAAATTATACTTAGACACTCTGAAGTTTGTAGGCTTATAACACTTAAACAAAAATTACTCCAATCAAAGATAAAATATCAAATATTTTAAATTCTACAAGCAAATGTTGTGTTCTATCATGACATTTGTTGAAATAAAAAATTTTAATTTTTCTTAAAAAATCATAATTAATATACAATTATACTATCTATTAGAATTTAATTTGATATTTTAAATAACTAAATTAAACTACTAAATTACCCCAATTAAAGTTATACCTTATTTAATTTTTTTAGTTCTTTAAACAAATAAATTAAACTACCCAAATTAAAGCTAGAATATATTATGTCAATTACGGTTTGAACTCTTATTTGATTTTTTCAGTTCTTTTAAACAACTAAATGAAACTACCAAATTATCCAAATTAAAGCTAGAATATAATGTGTCAATTACAGTTTAACCCCTTATTTGATTTTTTAGTTTTTTCCCGATAGATAGTATAATTGTATATTACTTATGATTTTTTTTAAAAAAAAAAATAGATTTTTATTTTTGATTTTATTTCAATAAATGACATAAGAAAATAATAAGTTTTGTTGTAAAATTCATGTTATATTATAAATGACTTAGACCCACCCCTTGTATAATTTTTTAGTTTTATTCTAATAGATAATATAATTGTATACTAATTACGATTTTAAAGAAAAAATGAATTTTTATTTTTGATTTTATTTAAATAAATTATACAATAAAACAAGAATTTTGGTTATAAAATTTAAAATATTTGATATTTTATTTTTGGTGTAAGTATAATATTTTAAATTTGAGTAATCTAAGTATTATATGTTTATAAACTTTAGAAAGTCTGAATATAATTTATTAATGGATATAATAGTAATTGGAGGCGTACAAATCTCGAGAGGTAAGTGAGTAAGTGTGACAAACTTCAAAGGGTTTAGAAGTAATTCTCTCAAAATTGAATCAAACGGTTAACTGGAAAACTTGAAGGTAAAGTATCAAATTGGTTTCTAAATCTCATAAAGGCGGATAATTAAAACACTAACCAAAAAGGAAACAAAAACAGAGAGGTTTAAAACCAAAGATCTCACCAGAGCAGAGAGACGTTAGAACCAAAGATCTCACCAGACAGACACAACCAACGACATATATATATATATAGTACGAACGTCCGCCTACTATCGTCTCTCTGTAAACCCTAAATTCCACCACCAGACGAATTCTTCACCTCCTTTTGTTTGGCCACAGTCGTTTGGAAGCGATTCAATCGCGTCGTACGATTTCTTGAGTTATGTGAATAACGCTAGAGAGTTGCCCTCGGATTTTGCCATGGCCGTTGCGGAGTATACGGGAGAAATTGTGATGTCGGCGATTAACAATGTCAGTGGAGATTTGGGGGTTTCAAGGGTTTTCTTGAATGCTCTGCTCTGTCTTAGAATTTTTCTCCAATTCTTCCTTCCGATGCAAACAAATTAGTGTCCACTCTTCTAGATCGATTTGAAATTTGGGTTCCTAGCTCACCGAGGAGCTAGTTTCGATGACACCTGAAGCGTCATCGTCTCAGAGTTTGACACTCATTGCAAACCATTATCAATCAAATGAGAGAA